AGGTCAATGTTGTCCACATTTGTTGTTATTAATGGCCAAGGATGTGGCACTCATCCCTTGATCAAGAGATTTATGAAAGGAGTTTTCAATTTACGACCGGCTTTGCCCAGGAACAATGTTTCATGGGACCCTGAGCAAGTGTTAACATTCTTAAAGATTATGGACTGTGGGACACTATAATCTTTAACACTAAAGCTGGTTACTTTGTTGGCACTATTAACAGGCCAACGACTACAATCCCTTCACTTGTTGGATATAAAGAACATTTCTCTAACAGATTCCAGTCTGAAACTTCGATTTGGAGATGCATTAAACAGACTCGTCCAGGTTTCCATCAAAGGGAGATAACCCTTCCTCAGTTTGAGGACAAACAGCTATGTGTTGTGTCAATATGTAAAGACTACCTAACAAGAACTGAACCTCTTAGAGGACAACACTCAAAACTGTTTTTGGGGTTTCAAAATCCTTAAAAACCAGTGTCTAAAACAACATTAGCAAGATGGATTAAGACAACGTTGGCTAGTGCTGGTATAGATATGAATATCTTTACACCACATAGCACAAGAGCAGCATCAGTTTCTGCAGCATCTAGACTGCAGGTACCAATAACCTCATTATTAAGTACAGCTTGATGGAGCAATTCCAGCACCTTTGCAAAATGTTAAAAAAAACCTTTTGTGGACTCTAGCACAGTATTCAAGATTCATTGACATTTATACATGTGATGTTAGAACTTTGTGATCTTTCTGTATTGACATGAATGGAGTACTCGTGAGATGGTACAGCAGAGACAAATACTTTTAGTGAATGACATTTAATGGAATTATCTCAACTGAGTTGTTTGTGCAGTTTTACGGTTAAGAATAAGATTGTGTGTCCATCATCATTCTAGAGGAAGCTGCGTACTATGGAACTATGTTCATTACATTTGGTATATATTATTAACTTTGTGGTTTTCGTACATGTGCCAAAGGAAGTAGGACTCAAGGAACTGATCTCTAGTCAACGATATTGATGATTTTACGTTTCATTAGCTTAGACAAGTGCGAGTAGTTTGTAGACTCTTTCCTTGTGTGCAAAAGATTTATGACTTTATTATCTTGAGTGACACAGCTGTTTTCTTCTGATCTTAACTTCATGTTTCCAGTTATATGCACACATATATATGTTCTTGTATGTACATATGTTTGAGTTGTTCAATATAACATTTAATTTATACCTTGCATTACTTATTTGTTCGTGAACACTCTCTTTGAACATCTCCTGGGATCCCGGATGTACCATTCAGGAGTGAATGACAGAATTTAAGAATTAAATGAGACTTACCTGTAAGCTGAAATTTGATTGTAATTCTGTCTTCACTCCTGGAGGTGCATCGGGATCACATGCCCTCCCTTTTTACCCGTCCCTTTCTTGGGATATCTTGAAACTTAGTGTTTTATAGTTGGTTTCTATACCTAATCAAGTTAGTACTTGGTAGTGTTCACTCACATCTTTGAAGAATGACTGCTAACGATGCGCACGCATCTCATGTGATCCCGATGCACCTCCAGGAGTGAAGACAGAATTACAATCAAATTTCAACTTACAGGTAAGTCTCATTAAATTCTTAAATTAATCATGGTCTTCAATCCTTTTTTCAGTCTAAATATTAAGTTTATTTCTGCATCTTTGCCATATAAAATTGGTATATCCGTGTAATGAAAACACTTTTTCCTGCACCTTTATTGCATGAAAGTGTATTATATAGATTTTTCCTTGTATCTATCTCAAATAAAAAAAAATATAGAAAGGACTTTTCCAATGTTATCTTTTAAACACTTTTTTGTTCATCTGCACCATTTAAATGCATGACACCCGGGTCTTTCAATCACTTAATAATGCATCTATGTCATTTTAAAGCTTATAAATCTGGGGCCTTAAGACGTGTTTTTCTTCATCTTTACGCCATTAAAGCTTGCAATACACGGTTATTTCGAACGCCGTTTTCCGGCATCTGTTTGAGGATCTTTTAAGCGTTTTTTTTGGAAGAATCACACCGACATAAACTTGAAGTAAGTATTTCTTCTGGCGCTTCTTTATTCTCCTTGGTCAAAGAAAAACTGTTAATTCTATGTGTAAAATTACGCTTCTTCATCCGTAGCAGGTTATAGCTTGTAAATCGGGATGCTTCAAACGCCCTCTTTTCAACTATCTCGCATAACAGCTTGTAGTCGAGGTCTTTAAAAAATGTTTTCTTCCTCTGGCTCACAACAAGGCATGGGGATGTGGATCTTTCAAACGCTTTTACTGTTTAAACACTTTTTCCTGCGTCTGTATCACGTAAACCTGTTTAAATCGTGATCTTGTAAACCCTCATGTATCAGCAGTTAAACTTTCTTTGTTTTCCCATGATATGGGTCAGGAAATTGCCTGGAAAGAGCAAAGTCGTCACGGCACAATGATATTCTCGCTCGAAAGCATCAAGAAACGGTGCAAGAAATGAAGATAATTTGATCCACTGCACCGAGTGATCGATAGCGCAGTTGTTGTGACGTTGACGTTTAATGCACTTGTATATAGGCTGTGACGTTATGATATTGGTTGATGTATTTGAAGGAATAAAGAAATTGCAATAAATCCCATTTTCATGTTTACAGTGGGCGTAGCTCGAGTGAAAGATAACACGCGCGAAGAAAAGTGAAAACATGTAACATGTGCAAAGTCACATCTCGTTCACATCCAGGACGAGATCCTAGGACTTGATCCATCCGTGAAAAACTCTCCATGAAGTGAAAGACATGAGCAAAGCAATCTCCAATCTCTATCAGAGATATCGTTCCTTAACAGTCACAATACTATACAATTATTGACTTTTTAGGTGAATTCGATGACGTATCTGTGACAGGTAGTTCAACTACTATTAACTTAGTAAAGTGTCTTATCATTGTCTGTGTCAGTACGTGTTGGTCAACTATGTTGGGAAGTTCCTGTTACACGTGTCGTGTCAGGATGGTGGTGTCATCGTCCATATTTGGTGTTGTTTTCGTCTTGTATGTAAATTAGGGTGTAAGGAGTTGTGAAAAAGCATGCAAGGGTGAGTGGAGTATGGAAGTGAAATAATAAAAAAAAACCCGTTTACACAGCGTGCCCGGCGCACTATAGCCAGGACCGTCGTATATACGGACGTATCCTCTGGGGTCCGTTTACGTATGCCCGCATGAAAGTACAAAATGCGTACAGAATGAAGCACTTTGCCAGACCGACGGGGTTTTGGAAGGTAAATATTATAATCTACGTTTCAATTACTTTCATTCGCGGAATTGGACTTGACATGTATACAGTAAATTAAAACGTACATGTTGCGTAACATATCACCATGTCATAGTACTATCCAGCTATTTTTTTTTTTTTTTTTTTCAGGGGTTTCATGCTATAGCTGTTCATGGGAAGGCCCTATAAAAGAATGGCAGGCAATTTCGTTGTTGTTATATTTGACCTGTGACATATCTACCAAATAAGGTAATATTCATCGAGCCCACAAGGGCGATACAAAACACAAGATACATTTACCATTATTTAAGCGTTGTAATTGAAAACAATATAACTTTAGTACTGTAGAGTTATTGTTACGACGAAAACAAAATGAATAATAACAATAAACCAAAATGATCACAGAAAAAGCATGCATTCAAAAGCACTATGAACTAATACATGAAACTAATTATCGCAGAAAGTCATGAAGCTGTGAGACGGTAGTGGAATTTCCCGTAATGTTTTATGCCAATGGCCGATAGCAACGTAGCGAACATAGCAACAAATAGTCTCACTCACCCAGATGTTTATCATGTGTGCAAACAACAAGGGTCTGACTGAACGAGGCTACGTCATTAGTATCATACTCGGCAAACATACAGAAATTGTCCGACATGACAGAATAGATAGGAAAAACAAAACACCATGAACACAATAGGAACACGATAAATACAATATTGAAGGAATGAAAAGTTCCTTATACTTAAGGTTAAATGATTATTTACTACTGTCACCTTGTAAATATAATGTGTGCGTATTAATATGTTTGGAAAGGGCTTTAAGTTTAAGTTGTAAAACTTGTGCCCAATCCTATTACTACTTGTGTGCAAAGAAATATTTTGAAATCAAATCAATTCATATTAAATTCCACTTGCAGATCACTAGTTAGAGCCCCAACAGACAAAGGGCATTGTTTTCGTTACTCCTTCCTGATATAGATATGTTCACAAAAGAATTTTGTTGGTAGACTAAATAAGTCCAATTTTAAACTCAGGAGTACACAAGTCTGATTCTTAGTCCCTACTGTTTTTGATAAGTAAAGACATAAGTGTAGGTTATAAAACAGTAAATAAAGTAAATAGGTTTTCATTTACATATGACAGTTTAATTTCTTGTGAAGCAGATTTTCAGTTGAATAAAAACATGATCTTGACAAGGAAAGACAGTTAAGGACATGGATAAATTGATCAGTGTTAGGAGATTTTTTGTTGGTTTTTTGGGGGGTGGGGATGGAGTGGAGTGGGTGAGAGGTTGGTTACCCGTACGTATTGTTGATTTCAGACTCTCACCGACCATAATGATATCTTTGACACAATATGTCGTTACCTGAAGAAATTACTTTTGGTTCACGTACATGTATTTAGAAAATCTTCCATTTCATTTCATTATTCATCATTGAATTCCCGAATTATTCATTCAAACTCGAATATTTCCGTACTAAAAGCTTAACGCAAAAGACATATTTTTCACATATAAGGCGACATATGAAATATGATTCTTATTTACTTCTTTCTAGGTAAATGTTTTTTGTCCCAATCGCACAAAATAACCACAATCCTAGTATATTAAGGAAACCTATGTATTCCTCACTGCATTTCAGGTAACAACCCAGTGACGTCATAGATGCAATAACGTCACAGTGGTAAATTGTTTTGTGTCATTCCATAGCTACCGCTTAACGAAGTCCATTAATATCGGGAGGAAATATGGACGGGTATGGAGATTTATATACGGACGGACACGGCTATATGTCTGTGGACACACACAGCAGTCTGTACCTGAACGTGTCTAGTGAGGCAGATGTGTATGCAGACAGCGTGTATGGTCCAGGAGATGAAACGTACACCGATCAATCGAAATCATACTCCAACCACTTTCGAAAAAGAATTTTGGGCACCGATGCGTCGTCCAAAGAGGATTATACTAAATACGACAGACCTGTCATTTCCACTCCCGGAAGTGGAGATGGCCGCAGTCTTAATGCAAGTCCAGACAACAATTTCTGGTCAGCTCTACTGAGAACCTCACAGATCAACATCCAGCGAAGAGGTGAGCCACGTTCCGTAATAAGTTCTCGTCTTACAGCATTGCGGCCAATAAGTATTGGTTATTGGAATAATAAGTCCGAATAAAGAGAAATAATGCAACAACTGACTTCCTGCTTACATGTCACCACAAAATACTCACCTGGTCAATCGGATAACTCTTGTGTCAGTAAAGGAGCAAAAGATTGGATACAATGGGAAAATATGTTCTAGAATAAGAGAAACTTAAGCAAAACAACAGCAATAGCTACAAGATGCAGGATGTTGTTTTCTTATATACGAGTAATTTAAGTATTTCCCGTGTGTATTTGTCACCTTGTAGCTCTGGAGATTACATACTCTCCCAGAAAAAAGGAAAGTTGCATGCTGTCAACTATGTATAATACACTGTATGTGAAAATCAAGGATTTGTCATTTATACTTATCATACAATTTAATTTAAAGTCATCCGTTCATTTGTATATCTATGTATATTACTTATTTGTTTATTACTATTATTACCGCTGCCCATTGCATACAGACCCTCTCAAGTCATAATTACCCATGAAAGGGGTTAAAGCGATATCACGGTAAATTGTTTTTCTTTTATATATATATATATATATATATATATATATATATATACTCATCAAGGGTATCTCCTTTTGAACAATGGCAGTTGGTTTTCTCTGAAATATACACACAAAGAGTTAACTTAGACTAATAAAAAGAAAATCCTTATCTGTTGATCAACAGTCTAGATATGTAACACATATGTAACAGTGCACATGAAACACTGCCGCTTGTAAACAAATTGGCTTCCCGTCTGAATCGGGCGATTAATGTCGTTTATTTCGTAATTCTGAATTGACTTAGAGTTCTCAAATAACATTTGCCGCACCCATAATAAAATATGGTACTGAAAAACGGGATTTTTTTATTACTGTGTCACTACTGTCACTTCAATTCTGCCATCATGTGTTCGTGTTTTCAAAATGAACTGCCTCGTTTTCAGATATTACGTAACGTTATCAGCGCTAAATTGAGATGGGTTTCCCGAACCAAAGTAGTGGTCAAGCTGGACATTGGAAATCAACTGTGACTATCGTGATGACATAGAAACGTAAATGGAAGTGTATAAGTCACGAACAATCAATGATTTTATTGTGATGTCTCTTTAAGTGTGCAGTGGAATATAGTGGCAAGTGATTAATTACACACTCGTGTGAGAGGTGTGAAGTATGGTGTAAGCAGTATGTTTTGTTTAATTGTATGTGTCAGATTTTTAGGCTTTGTCTGTATGCGAGAGAGTAAAATACTTTTTATTAAGGTCAATGGTAGTCCCGAATGATCCTTTCTAGTCGTTTTTTCTTCTTTTTTCAGATATCAACAACAATACGAAAAAGCACGTTAGAAAAAGAGTCAAAGATCGGACTAAGATCATCATACCGTGTGGGGAACAGTTGCAGAACTATACCAGTAAACCAAAGTTTAACTACGAATTACCGCCCTTGAAAGGTGTCCCTAGTTGCGATAGAGGCGCACAACGCTGTAACTTAAAGGTTAACGAGATCATGGTTGGTACTTACTGTTCCAATATCAGTACCCCAAAAGAAAATTTGAATCTAGAATCGAGGTTGACGTATTTGGATAAAGTTGAACACCGTTCAGGTTTCAGATCTTCAGCAAAGAAAACTAAACAGAATAACACGTCCGTAAAACTGCCGAAACTTATTCAAAATGACAAAAAATGCGAGGATTATGATCAGGAAAGCGAGAAAAGTCTTTTTAAACTTCCATCGATTGTCGGTACTACATGTTTATTGGATGCAGCAACGCAGCAATGCTCTCCTGATACCATACATCCGGAAGTGTCGGAAGACAGTGGTGCCGCTTCGTGTTCTCTTGGCAATGTAAAACTACCAGCTATCTTTCAAAACCCAACAAAGGAGAATGAAATGAAGTGGAAGAACAAGTTCAGAGGATAATGAACTGAAGTAGGACAGGAAGACAGGAATGTTTTAATGTATGGAAGGGCGCACTTATTTCACTTTTATGCTTGTATCATATTTATAATAATTTGAGTCTTTGTATCTGATAATAACTATTCGCAAAAGAAATATTGCATCGAAACTAAAAAAATGTTTTAGAAAGAAAACGGAATCATAGGAGAGAAAAAACCAACAATCAAAAAGCTTTTCCAGATGAAAAAAACCTGTTATTTCAAAAATCAAACATGTAGAAGATACACAAATGGAGTTTTACTTTCATTAAGATATAAACTACGATATATGTACATACATATAAAAGTGGTATTTAGCGTTCAGATGATAATTAGTTCGTAATACCATGGATATGACAGCATGTGTCAATATTCACAATTGTCTCTGGTTCACTTGGTACATGTAGCGAATCGTCTGTTATTCAATATGTGTTAAAGTGTGTTTTTGGTTAACACATAACTTTTCATACATATGTATAAATACTCATTCTTTTACTGACAACAACAGATGTTTTTCCTTTTGAGCTTGAAACTTTTGTAGTAAATGTTTCGTGTGAACTGCATTCTCATTGATTAAAACGCAATAAACGTAATTATCATCAGCATATAGAATATCACCCCAAAGAAATAACAATGAAATGAAAAAATATATTGTCGGAAGTCCTATATATCAACAAGAATGACTAAATCATCAGCAATGTTGTTTTTATCTTTATACTCATGTTTTCATTACCAGCAATAAAGAGATTAGAAAATGATGTCATGTTGTCAATTTGAACTCGAGATTAAACGAGCATCTCGAGTAAAACAATGCACACACTATCAGTTAGCTGACAGTGGGTAAGCACGGTCTTAACAAGGAAATTGTCCCACAATCTCCGAAAATCGAATATTTGCAACAAAATTTCCAAGATCACGTAGTTGGGGAAGACGACGTTACACGGGAACACCAAATGAAGAAAGAGTTTGAAAAATCAAGAAACAGTGCTGTCGTGAGGGAGGCTGCCGAAGTTTTAATGTTCAAGAAGCGGTACTAAACAAAAAAGGAAGAAAATTAACTTAAAATTATCATTTTGATTGCGAAATTATCGAAGGGAGATAACACTTACAGAACAGATCTGATCTACATCTTTAATCAACACAAAAACAAGTGGAAATTCAATTTGAACTCTTAAATTCGTTTAAAAGACCACCAATTCGTAATACGTTTCAGTTCTATTCAATGTGTTTGTATATTAAATCCAAATGTGTTCACTTAAATAGATGTAAAAACATCCCAAAATGTCATCAACGGCATGCATACGAGTCACTCTCGCCCCGGATAGAAGTGAGTCAAGTCACAAGTGGGAACAGATCTTCAAAAGAATGACACATGTAATTGACATGTCATTATTGAAATGTTTATTTCGTTTGTACAATGTCACATTGGGCTTTAAATGTTTCTGTCTACGGAGCCTGTATCGTAACTGCAAAATTTATATTACTCATATCCATATTTTATTGTATAGTAGACGAAATGGAGTATTTAGTAGGCACATTCCACGATAGAAAACAAAAACAGAGACGTATAAAAATTCTGGCGTGAACGAAGAACTAAGTGGAAGTCTGTTACCCGTACGTTATGTGTATTTTATGACAAACATAACAAATCCCACCTGTCGAAAGTTTCTTGACACAGAACAGCCTTATCTTGTTTGTAAATCACACGAATTATACACTCCAGTACAGTAAATATTTGATGATATCTACAAGATCTTCAAAACTTCACCACAATTCTATGTCAACACAACAGTAGGATTATACCAACCTCAGCCAACATTACAATGATTACACGAAATCTATGATATTGTACATTTGTAGGTGGCTAGGATCGGAACATATTATATTGTTAGGTATCTAATTTGGTCCTCGGTATGATTCAATGTATTTCCGCTAGGCGTAGTCGTATCGTAAACACGATCACGCCCTCTGGTGTTAGAAGCACCTTTTGTATGTTTTTCCTGCAGTTTATACTTTAGACATTCGATCTTGACTTGTAGGTTGTAAATACACTTAAGATGTCAACTATTTGTCCGTGTTTTTACTTATGTGTATATGCCGTAATTGATAGCCGACTGCGAATATCACGTGACTTTCATTTTCCATCCTCCTAAGACTAAGCTTTACATGTGTATACACACATTACGATCCAACTCGAGCTACTGCCAGCATCTAATGGAAACTATGAAGTCAGTTTTGTGCATTGTTCTATATTCCTTGTCTCTGTTTCCTGGTAAGTAATATATATTTCAAACTCTTTATTTCCGATTCCCAAAATTCCACTTTAAATTTCCAACGAAAGTTTCGTTGCTTTACTGTAGTGTTGTCTAGTTCTAGTATTAACTGGAGTTTTATTGTACAATCCCAACAGGCGATGCGTGGTCCAACTTTTTCATTTTAAATGGCAATATGAAATAGGACGTCATGCAACCCAAACAGAAAGCCAACGATTTTTGTTATTGTTTATGTAAAGTGTTTTAAATGTACTGAGTAAACAATTAGTCCAACACTGAAAAACCTATAAAATTTCTATTCTTCTAAAACGCAGAAACAGAGTCATTTGATGAATCATAGACGTGTTGGCCACAACGATTTTATTTATCATATTGTTAATATAAATCCCCTGAGGGGAATTTTGCTGTGAATGTTTATGTAAAGTTGAATGAATTTGGATAGGCTGATTAATATAAAGCTAATTTAAACGTCAGTAAGCGTCAAATTAACTGTCTGTTTATACGCTTTCAACATGCACCGTGTCTTGAACCTGGTTCGCTAGAATTATGGAATCAAAGGTAAAATAAAATTTAAAAGATATATTGTAATAAGAAAGTTGACCAAATAATTCACAAATGCATATACATTTAACGGATAATGGATTTTAGGGCGGACGATTTTGTTTTCCAAAGGATTACAGATATCCATGTATTTACTGATAATCATTACACATCTAGGGGCCGGTGTTTTCATTGACTGTGCCAAAGTATCCTGTATTGTGTATTTAATGTCAGTTACGGGAAACAGATGTGTTTGCGGAAATACATAAAACAGTGTGCTGTGATGATTGAAATAGCATTTGTACAATTCATTTAAGTTGTGAAATTGATAACATACAGCAGTTGCACTATGTATATTTCACATGCCACTAGAAAATCACCCGTGAAGATTCTGGTTTGTTGAAATGTTCTGAATGTGATCTTGATAAAGTAGAAACATAATCTAATTTTCTTTAATTTGAAACTTTCAAGATGATTAAAAATCAATTTATCCATGAAAATTATAATTGACGTCTAATTTAATAGGCTTATCTTTAAAGTATTTTCTCTGGTTTCTTCGCTGTCGCCTTGGAGCCTGACATTAAGTGTTGCTGAGTGGAGGCAATTTGGAAACTCGACAGTCAACGTCCGCTATCTAGATCTTAACGATATATCTTAAGAAAAGTTTTACTCTCAGAATCACGTAATGGACTGTAGTGTCAAATCACAAAGCGTAATAGAGTGGGGATGAGGGTGTAGAGTACGGGCAAGGATTAGGGGGAATCGCCAACAGTTGTCGACCCCGGACTTCAGTTGGACCTTTTTAATACACATATTTATCAGAGTTTTTTCAGATAAGAATACTTTTCATTGTTGACTTTTGTGTCTAGCCTACAGGCTTAAAAACAGTAGATATTCCCATGTGAGACAGATGATATAGACACTGGCGAAGTCGGCTTTTCGACTTTCGGAAAATATTTGATTGTCAGATTATTCTGTGTGGCCTTGTGATAAGTTAAAACCATATAATTAGGGAACTAAGAACAAACATGGTTATGTGGCGGCAATATTTATACCAGTAGATACATTATATATATAGTAATTGGTGTTATATAGATGTATGTAAATCCAACACGAACCTTTTTTTTTTAGTTCACCATTCTATCCCCAAGAGTGCGGAGCGATTTCATTTCTTTTGATAAAATATAATGATAAAACGGATACCCAAATCCAATATATACAATACCTTTACAGCATTGGCACTATTAAAAGTAAATGTTATTGCCGGACCAGTCTTTTTGGGTACATTTCCTTCTTTTACCTTTTTTCCTATCCGTACTTGACCCTTTTCGTCTTTATGTCCTTCATCCTTCAGTCCATCACTTCTTCCATCCCATGTATATTATTTTTCCATCACCATTTCTTGATCATATCACCCCATGCCTTTTTCCTTACAACATGAATGTACCACTTTTAACAATTATTGATCGCTCTTTTTCCTTTCTTAATTCAAAATCTTTCATCTTCTTGCTCGAATACTCCCTTCAATTTCAGGAACATCCTTTCATTTCGCTCCCATTTCCTTCCTCCCCATAATTTCTCATTTCCAATTTTATCTATCCCTACTCCCTCCTCCTCCATATAGACACACAGAGAAAGTCTATCCTTTGCATAATAGTATATTATAATTTCCTCGATCAGCGGTGGTCTGTGTTGTCTCTGTGTTGGTTTTTAGGCCAGTGTTTAGCAGTATTGAGGTGAGGGGCCAGGGATGTTCCCCGACACAACATACAGGCTTGCTTTAATCACTCGCCGAACTGATAGCTTATCACTGTACAAAGTCGACCGAATTTTTTCCTACTTCATTTTATCATTATACTTTTCCTTTATAATTTGTTGTTTTTGTAGTAGTATCGTATTTTTGTAGATATATATTCAAATGGTATCAGCCTTGACGTAAAGTATCTGTAGCTTCATTCACTGTGCCTGCTATGAATTTTAATCCTTTCAATTTTGTCTACAGTTTTACACGCTTAATCGTAACAGTATGGTCTTTGTTCCGCCAAATCCATCGACAGGGGAAATAGTCTGTTTCTTGACATCTTAATTTTTCACCTTAATCAGTAAAATAGAGCAACGGGTTTGAAAATTGTTTCTTAACGTATGGCAGTAATTATAGTTTTATCCGGGTTTTTATACAGGGTTCAGAATGCTCCCTAAACCGTGATTACAGATTTATCTGTGAAGTGGCGGTAACAGCATACTTGCAGACAAAGCTTTCTTAAAGTACAGGTCAGTAATTAGTCTAGAGTACACAGAAATCTGTAGTATCGCGATAATGGTGAGAGAAGCTCGGAGAACGAGAAGTTAAAAGAGGATTTGGATGTGAGAACAACCCGGGGACGCGAGAGCAGTCCGGGGACATGAGAGCAGCCCGGGGACGTGTACGTGAGAGCAGCCCGGGGACAGGGGCTGAGATAAGCTCGGGGACGAGGACTTGAGAGAAGCAATAAATAAATAAATATATAGAGATGGGCCGGGAGAAAAACATAGGTACATGACGTGAGAGGATCCGGGGACATGTATGTGAGAAGAGTCAGGGTACAGGGACGTGAGATGAGCCCGGGGACACTAGAGAGACTTACGGCAGAGGCACGGGCTGGAAAGGAATGATTTTAATAATGTTCAAAACGGAAATAAGATAAGTGAAAGTGATTGATGGTAAGAAGTAGTATTGAAAACGCGGAAATTAAACGTAAAGTGAGTGTTATATGTAACTCCTCGTAGTCACGTAAAGATGAGGTAAATAAAGAATGAACAGCGGACAGCGGACGCATGGCTCATCTTTGTTGACGCCGGAAGTGACGTGCCTACTGTCGATCTTCTCAGAGTCAACATATACATGTATCGTATGGTTTCACATACACTCAAGTAAAAGATGCTGAAGACAACAAGCCTAGCCAGCTGTCAGTCATTTTGTAACACCCCAACACGCCCGATATTATATCTCGAACTTTGATATATCATTCCGAGTCACACGAACGACTACTCTATTTCACATTTTGTGCTCGACACCGGATATTGATTGGAATTACCAACATAAGTCCGTTTGTTTTGTGATTGTCGTCTGCCAAGTGACCGGTAGTAATTCATTTTTCTAATCGTCGACTTCTCTAAACACAGGTACCGGTATTACAATTTAATTTAATGTTCTATAGTTGACTTCTATATTCCAATCGGTTGAAAGCTATATACAGAAGTAGCGGTAGTATTTTATTATCCTATGTGTTGACGTGTATAAACACATGAAACGATAGTAATTTATTTTCCAATGGGTTGCTTTTAATAAAAACAGAAACGAGCGCTAATATATTTACCCATGGAATGACTTCTATACACACCGGTACCAGTAATAATTTATTTCCCTATCGGTTTATTTCTGTAAACAAAAAAACGGTAGTAACTTACATTTATATCGGTTGATTTCTATAAACACAGGTACCAGTAGTAATTTACTTTTATGTCGGTTGATTTCTGTAAACACAGGTACCGGTAGGAATTTATTTTTATATCGGTTGATTTCTGTATACGCAGGTACCGGTAGTAATTTATTTTTATATCGGTTTATTTCTGTAAACACAGGTACCAGTAGTAACTTATTTTCTATGAGTTGATTTCTTTAAACACCAGTACCGATTTTAATTCATTTTCCTACCCGTTGTATAGATACAAAACTCATATAGTAGCCAACTCACAAGAAACTAAGTTTCAACCGGTACCTGTTGATGAGATGTGGTGTGCAAGCAGTGATTGCCAGATGCCAAATGATCTAGACCTGTGTATTGAGGAATTAGGAATTATCTATCTGGTATTACATGGACGATGTCGGGATTATTCTCTAATCATCAGTTTTTACTAGATTTGACGTAATTGGTGCAAAAACACTAAAAACTTCCTCTTTCTTTCCTTTAATGTCAGTTCCTTACTTCATTCTTTTTTCCCTCTCTTTGATCGTTTCTTTGTTTCTTTTTCTTTCTTTGTTTCTTTTTTTTCTTTGTTTCTTTCATTGTTTCTTTTTCTTTCTTTGTTTCTTTTTCTTTCTTTGTTTCTTTGTTTGTTTCTTTGTTTGTTTCTTCCTTTCATTTTTATAAAAGGTCTATCATTATAGTCGTACAGCAAGATTGATAAAATAACAAAGTTGACAATGTGACAATTTACGGATGAATAAACAAATAAAAAGATAAATGCAATTACTAAAGAGATGGGGCAAAAGACATAGGCCAGAGATGGAAGAAACCTAAAGGAGAACGAATTAGAAGAAAGAGACAAATTAAAAATATATAGCTGAGGACAAAAATGAGTGATAGACAGAAATAGAGAAACGACTAACAAACAAATGATATTAGTCGTCAGTGAAATACTGTCCTATGATTGTACTGTATGTACCGTACATGTACATGCATCCGTGGTAAAGAGGGGA